AATATTATTCAATATTACAGGGAAAATATATCGCAAGAACATTATCCACTGCAAAGAAATATGTGGAGACAACTGAAAAAAACGGGGTAGAAATATTATTTATTTTTACTTTTCTAATGTTCATTTCTACTAGTGTAGATTAACTTATTTAATCTCGATTTAATTTCCTCTTTCTCTTTTTCTAATTCTTCGAACAAGAAAAGGATGAAGAAAATTAAATCGAGATTAAAGTAATCTAAATTAGTAGAAATATTAGAAATGAACATTACAATTATATTCCTTTTATTCCATGTAATTTCAACTCTATTGTTTATTTATTGAATCTGTGATAATTTAAAAGTTTAAACATTGGAAATTTTATCAGTATTATTATAGTAATTATATATATATATATTAAATATTTTTGTTTATTTACAATCTTAACAATAATTCTTGTCAAATTTTGCTAACTTACAATTTCAATTCTACCAGTAATTACAATTATGATATTCAGCAACTATATTTTACTAGTTACAATTAATTACTTTTCCATCAATTAACATTATTAATTTTATTATTTCACAATCAGGTTAGAACTATCCGTTTGTGCGAGTCTTCTTCGCGCAACTCCCTATCACTGGGAATGCTAAAAACTTTAGTGACAGAGATCAAGAGGGATGAGGACAACAAGGATCTCCGATCGATCGTATTGACGTCTGAGCCAGGAAAGGTGTTTTCTGCTGGGCACAATCTGAAAGAACTGGTTTGTAGCTTGGTCTCACTTCCATAAGAGCTCCTCCTTCCTATCGTCGCATAGAAAAAAATATCATCGGCTCGCATCATTTAGACGGCTACGAATGCCAAGTCTCACAAGGATGTATTTGAGATCTGTTCGGAGTTGATGCGGACCATTAGTCAGAGTCCGGTGCCGATAATCGCAGCGGTGGATGGATTGGCAGCCGCAGCTGGCTGTCAATTGGTTGCGGCATGTGACATCGCGGTGTGCACGGAAAGAAGTTCGTTCTCCACACCAGGGTACTCTTGCAAAGTTTACTCTTCATGATTTATTGTCACATAATTATTATCTCTCTATTAATATCATCTATTATTAATTATATTATTTCTGTATTATTGATTGTTAATTTCTTTTTCTATTTAATGTCTTTCACAGAGCGAATATTGGGATATTTTGTTCGACACCGAGTATACCATTGGTACGCAATGTGCCAAGGAAAAATGCAATGTACATGCTGTTTACTGGATTTCCTATTTCCGGCAAAGAAGCTTACGAATGCGGTCTCGTTAGTAAAGTCGTTGAGAATGACAAGCTCGGTAAGTCACAAACGAAAAATGAGCAAAATGTTATTAGAAAAAGTAATACAAAAATTAAATTGAAAAATAGTAAATTAATTTCAGATTATTTTAAAAAGTTAATCTATTTAAAGAGCAAATCTAAACTATTAGAAATTGTTTTAGTAAAGAGATGTAAAATAATTATCTTTTTCTCTTTATTGTATTTTTTTTTTAAGAGTTCATGAGAAAACATCTCCAACTATATCTGCTACGTCTTTTTATAAACTGTATGTAACTGGTTGACCTAAACATAGTTCTTAAAATATAAATTAATGATATTAATATAATGCTGACTAGTTATAAATTTTAAAAAAGTAGTATTGATGTAATATCATGTTTTTTTTAGATTTGAAGTTCAAATTGATTAAACAGAGTGCAGTTTAGCAATTAGTTGCAGTTAATTTTAGCTTGAAAACAAAACAAATATGTTTATGTATTTTCGATGATATAAATCCTTTTCATAATATTTTAAGTGTTTTAAGTATAATAAAAAGATAAGTATTTCATTTGCAAATTTTGCAGAAATCTTTTATATAAATATATTATTATTTTCAAAAATACCTTATAAAAAAATTTATAAATATGGAATTATAATTTTATATAAAATTTAAAGTATATAATTAATTTTTTATGTAAAGTATTAATTTTATTTTTATGAAAAATATTTGATTATTTTTTCGCACATATATGCAATAAACTTTAAAAGTTTGTGTTTTTAACAATTTCTCGTTTTCAATTTGACACTTTTTTCTATTTAGGTTTGTAACAAAAAATTTTTTTTCATTTTCAAAGAGCAAGTAGTTACTTATACATATAATATATTAAAGAAAAATCTTGTAGTTTTATTTTTATTCTAATGATAAGTCTCTCTGAAGCAATATCTGAAGTTATATAGATTTAAGTTACAAAAGTGTTAACATTTATTAGTACATATGCTTTATAGTAACATATTATAATATTATAAATATATTTATATTATTTTAATTTTTATTTAATGTGAAATAATAACATATTTTTGCATAATTTATTTTTCACTTGTGTACATGTATCTTATATCCACGATAGTGTCCCGGCACTAAGATTACCAGCCTATATTTAACTTTAATTTCAGACGAGGAAGTTCGTCGAATTACAGACGCCATTAATACAAAGAGCCGTTCGGTTGTGCATTTTGGTAAAACATTCCTGTACGAACAAATTACTCTTGATATATCGACAGCGTATGCTCTCGGTACCGAAAGAATGGTAAATAATCTTAAAATGAAAGATGCGCAGGAAGGAATACAAAGTTTTCTGGAAAAGAGAAAGCCAAATTGGTCGCATGATTTATAATAATTGATTATATATCTAACATTTTTTAATTATATATAACAGTAATTATATATAATATTTTATGGATATGAAGCTTTCTTACAATTGATATTACTGTAATACTTTATACTTGTGTATAATTTCAATAATAAAATGATTAAAAAGGCATCTTGTAAATAATTTACATCCCTGTGAATAACGTTTATAGTTCAATCCATTAATCATGAAAAATTATTGATTAAGTGTATTACAAAATCAAACAAATGTAGTTCCATTTTTCTCTCTCTAAATATTAAACGCAATCTTTTAAATTTTTATCTCATAATGACTTCAAGACTTTCTGTGCGACTATCATAAAAAATTACAATATTTGTGATATTATGTGATATTGTATCATTATTATTGTTTTATTATTTATGTGTAATCGTGCATTATTAATTGTTATTGATAATCTGGATTTTTGAAACTAATTTTTCAGATGTAGTTATTTAAAATAAATTTTAAAACATTGCAAAATTTTTTAAAGTAAAACCTGCTCTATTTTAAAGACATCAGAATTTTAGTAATATAATGATTATAGTTCTCGATCATTGTCATTATTTATTATATATTGTTATACATATACTAATAGCTTGCTTTTCAGACATTTAAATTATACGATATCTAATGATTCAATTTTTATATCTATACGGTGAAAACAAATATCGTCATTGCGTGTCATTGCGCATGCAGAAAGCTCGTATACTTATAGTTATCGAAAACAGCAAAAACATCTGGCGAGACAAATCTAGGAAAGGAAAATCATTTGCATTTAATAAACAAACTAAATATAATTTTGCAAATATAAGAAAATACTTAAAACATTAATTTCACACACAATAAATATAATATATTAAATAAAAATTATATAGAATTGTTTGTCTAGTTAAAACTATTTTTATCATAACTATTTACAGGGTTTATATTCCATAAAAAAGGTAAATACGTTATTAAGAAAAGAAGATTTATTGTTAAATAAAATTAAATCTATAATAAATATAAAAAAAATTGATATTAAATTTTGCGTAAATATTCTATTGACTTGTTTAGAAATCTAGTTCAAATGTGTTAAAGTATGAAAAAATAGATATTAAATGGAATGTTTATATTAAATTTATATTATGGTAGTTAAATCAGATTTAATGTTGAATGTTTCCTTTTTGATCTTTTAGTGTAAAAATCTAAAAATATGAAATTATTTGCCATCATATATGCTTAATGAAAAATCACCATATCATAAAACGTAAATATACATTATATAACGTTCAATGAAATATGAAGAAAGAAATAAAAAAAATACCGTATACAGTATATATCGTGTTTGTGGCATATGTGATATTTTTTACCTATTTTCCAAAAATTAATTATGTTTAAAACATTTTTTATTTTGTAAAATTATTTTTATAAAAAAAAGTAAATGTAATTAAGAAAGTAGGTATAATTATCAATAAATCTGAAACTTTGTCAAATTATTCATTTAATAAATGGACTTGTCTTGTCAAATTACAGATTTATTAAAACAGTTCGATCGGAGGAATACATATTTATTAAACAATTTGCCTAATTATCTACTTTATTCAAATGCAATCAGTATAAATATCAAAAAGTACAAAACGCCTAAAATGCTTATATACAAATTGATGCAACTGTCCTATTTATGATAAACGACAAAGGAGAAACATTTAACACAAGGAAAGTAACATCATCCGTAACAAGATTCGCGTTGGCAAAAAGTACAAACGTTTGTTCATTTTGATAAATTTGTTTATTGCGATAACCATACGTTTTGCCCTCCTTCTTGGGAAACGAGAAACTTCGTTTGTGGTCTTCATATCAAGTTAGTACGAAAGATGACGTCAAGATTTTCAATGTTCTGTCTGATAAATGATTAATTCGGATCGTTCCCGGTTGGTATTCATAATAAGAAATGTAATCGAATTTACGCTTCAATTTGACAATATTGAAACACGAGAATATTTAGAGGTGCGTCAAATGTATTTTTTCTTGTAGAGTACGGTATTATTTAGATACGTATTTAAATTTTGAACTCTCTCGTATCATTGCATCAGAATCAGACTACGACGCTGGAGGTTCTTATTCATTGAAAACGATAAGACCGAGTCCACGGTGGTCGGGCAACATCGGTTGCTGTCTCGAAGGCCGCAGATATGCCGTTCTTATTTTGACAAATAAAAAAAACATCTCTCTTTCTCTGTCTGTCTTGGTCCCGCTATCTTCTTCGCTTTTTTTTCCACCGAGCTTATAAGTAATGACCGCTGTTGCATTGAGAACCAGTAATCACGTTGGATTATTTCGGAATAGACTCTGAAATTGAAAAGAAATTACACACGACGAGTCAGTAGATCACAAACAAATAGCGACGCAAAGCGGAAATACAGCCTCTCGTACGTCGACGACAAAGACAAGTCTTTCCCTTGGTTGATGAATCTTTATACCAGGACCACTATCGCTGGCGGCTGCCTGAGGCTTGAAGCTTCCTGGAGGATCGAAACTCGAAGAACAAATCGAGACAAGAAAAGAGGAAGCACACCGAAGGCGAGCCTGGCGACGAGAAGACGATTTACCAGAAGGCAGATAACGGAATTGCTTTTCGAGAATTGCATCGGTCAGTTGGACTTGGCGAAAAATTCAGAAAATAATTATTTAAATGAGAGCGCAACTTTAATAAAGTTTGCGAACTCCTTTGAGTTTTTGCGAATTTAAAAAGGGATGAGATGCACTCAGATTTTAAAAAACAAAAAGAAGAACAAATAAAGAATATAAAATACAACAAAGATAAATTGTACATTTTATATTAATCAGGCGTGATTACGATTTATTCCTGTATAAAACAGAAATGTACTTTGACAGTAATATTATATGTATAAATAGCGAAAGAGTAATTATTACTGAGTGTAGATGACATTTCATAAGTTAACGGATCAATATGAGCAGAATTAATTTTAAAATTTTTATTTGTTATATATTTATATTTATTGTATTTCGCAAATACAGCATTTGAAACTTGGTCTCAAACGGCAATAAATTAGCAACAAATTCTTACGTTACTGTTAAATATAATTTTATTGTTTATATATATATTATTCTGCTAACTTAATCTTCCTTTAGCGAAACATTATTTTTTAAGAATACTTACAGATCGAGTAATAAATAAAAATATTAGCAGAATTGATTCTGCTCATTTTGTTCCGCTTACTTATAAAACGTGCGAAGATCAAAGCTTAACGATACGAAAGGCATGATAATGGGACATAAATAGCTATGAATGTATAGGAAGATCGTAACCTACGCACATGTGCATAGATATATGTTGTACACTGGCAATACTGTTATTGTTTTGATTCATCACATTACTAAATTCGAGATATATTTCCTCCTTATACAGCATTTAATAATTTTAACTACTAAATTATTACTTAAAATATAACTTATTTCTTTCTTGAGATTAATAAGCTCTTTGTATTTGTTGAGATATTTTTTAATAGTAAAGAATGTACCGCAATTATTGTATACATATGTATATATATTCATTATAAACGTAACAATTTAATCGATAAGACTCACATAAAATTATTACATCGTGTAAAACTATACTAATTAATTACTAGTAATATTGTTATTAAGAAATATCCTGTCTTAAAAAATGCCAATAAAGAACAAATCCTATCTTTAAAAATGCTAATAAAGTACAAATCAATTTATTAATTACTGATTTAAATATTTTATAGATTTAATTATTACAAGAAGCATTATACATATGTAGAATATTAATTGCTGTGAAACATATTATAATAAATTTTAATCTATGTGCAAGGGGAACATTAATTGTTTAATCGTTCTAATGAGTTATTTATAATAATATTTAATTTTGTAGATTGTGGAAAAATGGCTTCCATTCCGCAGAGTGCTTTCGCAGTGTGCAAAGTTCGCTGTAACGAGGAGCAAATTGTTTCTATAATGAAGAAGAAGGAAAAAACTGAAGAAAAAAAGGAAAACGTATTCAATCCAAGGCCTCCTCTAGAAGGTAATATGCCCTTATTTGGTTTCACGTTTTTATAAATTCAATTTTAAACAAAATTAATTTTATTAGTTTAATTTACATTACTTGTACGTTTGATTTTTTTAAATATGCAGGTTGGGAGCTAATGCCACTCAAGTATAACAGTAAACTGATGAATAGTATTTGGGGCTTGTACAATCGTTACTCGGTACATAATTTTAAGAAGAACACTGATGCCGAGAAGGGGGGCCGCGGTGGGGTGGCCGCGGCAATCTGGGGCACCATTTTGGAAAAACAGCCCTCAGCCAATGCCGCCGTCACCGCCACCGTGATTGCCCCACAAATCATAAAGACCAAAAATCGCCTTTAAAACTTTAAACGCGACGCGGCCATATAACTTTGAAAAATCATTGAAAAACAGTAGTTGGGAATAAGCAAATTATGCATATTATAATTACAATATAAAATGGGATAATAAAATAATATACATATATAACATATTTAAAAACTACGCGAATATACGACAGATATATATTACATCTAGTAATTACGTATACACCAATTTTATTAAAGCTTCTAAATTGCCATTTTAATGCTTATACTGTGAGTTTTCACTTTGATTACTATTTGTTATTATATCATTTCAATATATCATTGTCTATAACGCGTCGTTGTTTTTCGTTTTGATTCTAAGAACCAGGCTGTTGCTTATATGCATCTATATAATAATAAGACGCGGCACAAAAATCTTTTGTGCTATTGTTATGCAATGCAATAATCGAGAAAGACTTTGTAGCAGTATTTGAAAGTTCATTTTGTTAAGGATTTTTAAGGAAATCAAAACTTTAAATGATTCCCATTTCTTACAGATAAAAATTTGCGTCAAAAATAAATGCAAATCTTGTCAAATAGTGCGAAATTATTGAAAACGTATTCAAGCAACTATATTATTGTCAAGTATCGTGAAATATTCACGAAATATGTATATGTATAGTTGATAATGAACTATGTGATCACTTATGTATTATTGTAATAAAGTAAAAATACTAAATAAATAAAATACGTACGTCAAACATTAATGTAATATTATGTTACAATAATAAAATTAGATTTAATTACAAAAATTTTATATGTCAGAGAATCCTTCAGTGATAATTAAAATTTTGAATTTCTTTACCGTCTTATAAATTGCTATTATTGCTCAAATTAATTTAAGGCTACCTTACTCGATCAAGCGATGATTAATTTAATCGGCGTTCAAGATAGAAATTTTTATAACAAAGTTTTTATACAGTCGTTATCTCTAGTACAACCGAAAAAGAGACTGATAATTTATTTCTAAAAGAATATATGTGTGTGTGTATATATAATATGTATAATATACACACACACTACAAATATTATTTTATAAATTAATTATTAATTAAGTTAATCACACAAAGCAAAATTATTAAGTAAAATTTCAAATTATACAATAATTTATTGTTTCTAACTTAATATTTTTTTCTGAACTAAACAATAAAAAAAATGAAAATTTCTGACCATGTTAATAAAATATTATACATATTACTTTTCATAAATTAATGTTGATTAATCGGAGTTTAGTCAAAGTCATCTACAATCCCTGACGTCGCATTACTACCTGCTGGCAATTGTAACGACCTTCACGACGTTCCATGCGACATGTTTGGGCGCGGTAGAGTTCTAGATATCAGAGCAGCGCAACCGGTGTGCCGCATTCTGATTAGCTGACTGTCAGCCAATCATGACATTCATTCAATGGTACTAAAAATGGCTGACTAACAGACGATTGGTGAATTTCATAGTTTGTCTGCAAACGACGCCATTTTTAGTACTTTTCTTAGTATAGTTTTGCAATACTGGATATCGATTATGAAACTTTTTCCCTACGATGAAAAGTGAAAAGTGAAAAATTTTTCCATTAACTTCAATGATAAAAAATTTCACTTTTCATCCTAGGGAAAAAGTTTCATAATCGATACCCTGATAGCGTTTTCTCTTGGCTGCACCAGTGTAGGGTGGTTGCACCAGTTCATCTATTTTCCTTTTCCCTTCTCCTGGAGAGAAGAGGAAGAAAGATGAACTAGTGCAAAAGTTCAGCTGAATGTTGCACTGGTGCAGCCAAGAGAAATACTTAAGCCGGTTGCGCTTCTACGTCTAGGACTCTAGGGCGCGGAAATCGATCTTTCGATTTGTAAAAAGGTTTGATCTCGGCATTTTGGTCGTTGATCGTTGTTTTATCGAGATGCGATCACGTTTACTAATGTAACAGACGTCTGATAAAAAAAAAGGACGAAAGAAATGGCTCTTTACGACAATCAACACTGGCTGCTGTCGCACATCAGGGACAGTTTTCTCGCGACAGATGATACAGGTATGTACTTCTGATAAATTTAGGTTAGAAGTGTTGGCAGAGGCATTACTCCGATTTAGAAATATTCTGAAATAATATTTCCAATGATGTCGATGACACATACTTGTAAGATAAATTCAATTAAAATTAATTGTTTATATATTAATGCGGCTCAGTAATAAATAAGTTAAATGCCTTAATATACAGTTATGTTTTATATTACAATTTATTTAGAATTGTAATTATTTTTATGGTATGTCTTATACTACTCTCGAACATTGTTCTGATATACACTGTCAGTACTGCAAATCTATAATTCACGTATATCATATATTTTTATATTGACGATATATACTAGAACACAACTTTGATTGACAGGTATGTGCGACATGGTGATACTAGGGGAAGATATTCCTAAGCAGTTGAAGAAAAACGGTACCCTGCAATGTTATCCTGGTATGGAAGAAAGTGACGATGAGGATTTAGATGTGATGGCAGAATCATATGACATACAAATGGGTGCATACTTCTGTTTTCTATTATTTTATGTGAGAACATCATATAAATTCTAAATTGGAATTCAGTTCAAATTTACAAAACAAATTTTATAACATAATTTATATTATAATTAAAATTAAATTAAAGTGCAATTTTTTCTATTGAATTATTATGTTTTTTGTGTGCAACATTGTTCTAGAAATGCCATTCAGTCACAGACAGAGATCTAATACTGCACAAAGATTAGAAAAAATGGATATAGAAAGAAAAAAGGCCGCCAAAATCAAACATGTCAAATGGGAACACAATCTTAGTAGTGTGACACCTACAGATCAATCAGATCTGTTTCAAAGAAAGGATTTTCGTAAGAAAGCACCACTTAAAAAAGGACAATCCCTTTTATCGGAACAACTCGAAAAATGTCCATATTTACCACCAAATCCATTTAAAGAATATGCCAAATTTGATGGAGACGTATGTATCTGTTTTTGTTTCCCTCAAAAAGCTCGTTTCCAAAAAGATTGCTTAAAAAACGAAAATTATATATTACAAGATTTAGCAAAAAAAATAGATTATAAAATTTATCCTTTATAAGCTTCATTCTTGAAAATATGGCTTTATAATATTACAAAATTTCTTTACACAGGCACAAGTGAGCGTTCCTGTGAGAAAATATAGGATATTTATGTGTATGTTGCCGAAAGAAGACAGAACATATCCGCTTCAAGCAGCAGTGATAGTAACAGCACGTGTATTGGACTTCATTGGATTGATTTGCTACAAATATGCAATTGAACATCCTGATCATAATTTGAAGTCTGTAATAATTTACTTCATTGCTAGAATGCGTATGACTTATTTATAAAATCTCAAACGATCATTATTTCCAGGGAAGACATCTCACATTATGGACTATACATCACTGAGGATGACGGTGAGATAGACTGGGCCTTCCCCTGTTTAGATCCACATGAAACCATCTCCAAATTCGAATTCACTACGTTAGGTTTAATCGAAATGAAACCAAGTGATAAAGCAAGATACAATACAATAAGTTGTATTCAGAAAAAAAATGAGGAGGTTCTAGATGGTAAAGACAAGGAGCAAGAAGAAGTTGCAAAGGATTTGGCTAAAATGGAGGGTCATACTACTGCGATGGAGGCACCATTATATCAATCATACAGGTAATTCCTTAATATATTATATACAACATTATATATTAAATTTTTTAATAAAATAATTATTAGAGAGAATAGATACATCGAAATATTAATTAGTAAATAATTTAAATAAAAGTGATGAAAATTAAAGAGAAGTATAATGTTGAAAACATACATAATAATTAAAATAGTTGTAAAAGTGAGAGAATAGTATAAGATTGATAAAAATGTTGTGCATGTGTGTGTGTTCAGATTATATAAGAATATTCATATCTCTAAAATTGTAGAGTATATATAATTAACAAAATGCGAGCAAAGACTGAGATTCATCTTGGAATATCGGGTGAGAAAATAGAGATAGATCCAGTGATAACAGGCAAAGGTGCTGCCAGATTTTGGAATAGACAACGGGCAGTCAGTTATCACATAGACAACATCGCTTGGTGCGAAGTGACTGAAACTAAGGGGTCGAAAACTATATTTACACTGGTTTATACTCCGCAATCCAGCGCTCCAGATAATATTCTTAGTTAGTTCTTTTCTTTTTATATAATTACATATTGTTTGATGATTTTATTATTTCTAAGGAAATCCGATTTTAAAGAAAATTATTTTTCGCGAATTTATAATTTCAAATAAACTTTATGATAAAAATTGATATTTCATAGATCAATATTTTAAACTTACTAATGTGCTTATAGGTCACAGTCATTCGCTTCATCAATCAGCGTCTTTCAAGAATCATGATTTTGAGGCAGATTCAGTGACGGCTGAAGAGATTGTACGAAAAATTAATCACATCTTAGAGTTACATAGCAGCCAGTCGAGGAAGGAATACCTCGCACAGAAGGAGAGGAAAGCAGCGAGGAGAAAGAGCTTCCATCTGCATAGATGACAGCTCTATTGGTTATTCCGTACAATCTTAGATTATTTGAAGCATTGAATATTAATGTATATCATAAAACGTGATCGTAAGAATCGCTCTAAAAAATATCTTTTCATATGATCGAGTCAATATCTCGAATCTTGTTGACGTGCCAGAAATGGCGGGAAATAGAGGTCTTCTCCGTATTCCATAGATATAAAGTTTAATGCTGTATAATATCGGTAAATTATTTCTTTATTTATTATATTACATCTTATATATATATATATATATGTG